ATCATTATACCCTATACTTATAATTTGTATTAGAGCTAATATCCCCTATCATTATACCCTATACTTATAATTTGTATTAGAGCTAATATCCCCCATCATTATACCCTATACTTATAATTTGTATTAGAGCTAATATCCCCTATCATTATACCCTATACTTATAATTTGTATTAGAGCTAATATCCCCCATCATTATACCCTATACTTATAATTTGTATTAGAGATAATATCCCCCATCATTATACCCCATACTTGTATTTATGCCCCCGCCATAAAATTGGGGGCATATAGTGGTGCCTATGTCCATCCCATTCCATCGCTTCGCATCCCGTCCCGTCACATCCCGTCCCGTCCCATCACGTCGCGTTGCGGCCCGATTCAATGTAAACATCTGTCACATCCAGTCCCGATTCAATGTAAATATAAACACTTAGCAACTTCATTCTTTGACAGATTTTGGTCAAACTTTATACAAAAGTCAAGTATGAGTATGCTTCGCACATCGTTGTGTTGCAAGGATCCAAGGTCAAGGCCAAGGTCACACTTGCTATTTATAGAAAATCAGCAACTGATTCAATTTAAACACTTAGCAACTTCATTCTTTAATGGATTTTGGTCAAACTTTATGCAAAGGTCAGGTATGAGAACACTTCGGACATTGTTGTGTTTCACGGTTCCAAGGTCAAGGCCAAGGTCACTGTTGCTATATATAGAAAATCATCAACTGATTCAATTTAAACACTCAGCAACTTCATTCTTTCACGAATTTTGGTCAAACTTTATAGAAAGGTCAAATATGGGTATACCTCTGACATCCTTGTGTTTTAGGATGGTTATAACATGCAGAAAAAACATATGAATATTAAAATCAACTTTAAGTGTACCCAGTAGTACCTTGTGTATGTGCATGTTTCAGGATATCGAGATCAAAGGGTGTAACTTTTTATAGAACACTGAAACTAATTTCACATGGCAGCGGGGGCATTTATGTCTTACAGACATTTTCTAGTTTGTATTAGCGTTATCTCCCTTAATGATATCTACTTCTTCACAGACTTTTGTAACTGTGATTTGTATCTTAAAGATAACTACATAGTTTTGCATTTTACTTGAGAGATGTTGGTTTAAATTAAGATAATTGGATCTCGATATATTAATTGTCATAAGCATTAAAATGGTCTGATGGTAACGAAGAAATTCTACAGTTGAATGTCAGATTGTGGAAGCCATTTTAAAGTTGATAATAAATAGAATATTTGATTGATATTCCAATTCAAATATGAAGGATTATTCTAAGACCTGTTAACTGGTAAAGTGTTTAAAAGCATCTATTTGTCTGATATTGATTTATTTACATTCTCTTCCATGACAGAGTTTCATCAACATCAAAATCAGTAAATAAATGGACAATACCAAACTGTAAAATGGGTGACAAGTTGGAAGTCAGCATGGAAACCAAGAGGGTAAGAACCTGTATGTAATGTGAGTCGGGATACCTAAGGTAAACAGGGGGATAGGGAGGTAATTGCAGTTTTAATCCACCCTCTGCATTCTGACCTCGAAAAAACATATCTACTGCTTTGCGGCCTACATACTTTGCAATTGAACTTAATAATTGATTATTAATAAGTAAGTCAATAAAATAGATATATATACCATTATTCATCTCCAGATTTGCAAATATATATCGCAATAAGGCTGTCGTTCTGTATCAAAGACATGACTTGATTTTTGCCTGTGTCAACTCGGATAGTTCAAACTACTCTTTATTGAGGCGGCTAAAATTTCTTGTAATTCAAACAGGATTGACATTATTTTTTTTATTTTTTTTTGTTCACCGTAGTTATCATTTGGGTTCAGAATTACTGGTGTTTAGGTTACTAAGGTTACATATTACTTAGGATAAAATCACAGGTGTTTAGGTTACTAGGGTAAGAGATAACTTAGGATAAGATTGGTGGTAATTGAGATTACTGTGATCTTGATCACTGGTGTTTAGATTACTAAGGTTACAGATTACTAAGGATAGGATTGGTGGTAATTGAAATTACTGTGATCTTGATCACTGGTGTTTAGATTACTAAGGTTACAGATTACTAAGGATAGGATTGGTGGTAATTGAGATTACTGTGATCTTGATCACTGGTGTTTAGATTACTAAGGTTACAGATTACTAAGGATA